AAAAGAGTATATAAAAAGATCACTAGCTGTCTGTTTTGGCTTAATTGAAGTGCATTCAGAACTATGGCTAATTGTTGTTGGTTTTTTTTTTTTTTCATCTTTTGGTGGGATCACAATACTGTCTGTTTACCACAAAGTAATTTTGTGTAATAAGCACAGATTGCTGTGTTAAAAATATTCTGCATTCCTTCTCATCTGGTTTTATATAATAAAATATTTTGTTACAAATTCTAATGTGCAACCCTTTTGGAATTATTCTAAGTGTGAAATCTGGAACAGAATTCACAGGATGCACATTTTATATAAAGGTGATAACGGAGAGCTACTTTTTTCTTTTTAAGTAGTCAGGCAATATTTCATAAATGTTGACTTCTCCCCTCAGCATCTTCTCTCCCTATCCCCAAACAAATGTGCGCACACCACACTCACACACACACACACACACACACACACACACACACACGGAACACCTTGTAATATGAAATCATTGACTCCTGTTCAGTTGCTTTCTCAAATGTAAGAGTGAAGCCATTATTTTAGCTTTGTAAATATATACAGACAGATGCTATTCTGGTTTGTGGCTATGCTTCCTTGAGGTCAGCCTGGATGCTGCTACTTAGATCATTCTATTTTGCCTGTGCAGGATTTTAAAAAAATTGGATTCTCCTACCAAGTATGTGGTGTAAGTTTATCTTGGAAAGCTCAGGTTTAAGTTGTCCTTTAAGATATCAGTTTAACTGTACTAGTGCCTTACGAGTTGATAGTTTTGCTGGAATGCAGACGATACTATATTTACCATATAATATATTATCAGCTCTCCTATATCTCAGTCAATTTACATAGTTTAAAATAGAACATCTTATTAAAAACATCTAGATATACACAGATTAGGAAACGCTTACAACATACAAATACACAAACTAGAAATAAATCTTTAGCATACTGGTATATACAACGGTGTGATACAATAAATAATTTCAGTCATGCTCTATCTACACATCATATTGCTTAAAAGAAGAGTAGATTTGGAGGGCAGTGGTATGATGAAGGACTTAGGGGCTCTCTACATTTAAATTTGTGCAAATTAAAACAGGATTTGAAGTACCACTGAATTGTGTTAGGAATGCATGGCTGGAGAAATGAAAGGACCCATATTACTGAGGTATTTACAGATACTGGCTAAAGAGCACTATATGGGCAAATGCAGAAAGGCTTCTTCTTTCCTTTACTTCTTGACGGCCAGCATGGCATCAACTTCCTCCTCTACCTGCAGGGTGTGCCACTGGGCAATAGGTCGCCTGGGGTTGGCCAGCATGTCTGACCAGTGTCGCAGCTCCGCGCCGGTGCTGTTGTAGCCCACAAAGACTTTGCCGATGGCATCGTTCTTGCCAATCTTGTCATAGTCCAAAACAGTTACCACCACCTGCACTTTCTGAAGGGAGACACAAAATGAATATGAATTATCTAGCTCTAGGGATAAGACCCAACTAGAAAGCTTCCTTGAGATCTAAGGAATTGGAAATAAAAGAATCAATCTCCAGCCACTAGGATGAGGATGAAAATGGCTTGAATGTAAAAGCTTGAGTCTAATCTTTCTTATTCCATTACTATATCATCATTGTCACCACCATCATCTTCATATTCAAACATTATTTTTTATTATATTTGCACTAAGTCTTTTACCTGAATGAACTGTTACTTCTCATAACAGATCCTATTAATATTGCCATTATACAGATAAAGATGGGTGAAGCTCTGAGAAGTTATATAACCTGCCTGAGGTTGTTTAAGGAATGAGCTGTTTGGTTTTCAGAGCCTATCCTGTAAACCTCTATGCCATGGAGTCTGTGTCAACTTGTGCTAACCTCTAAATTCATTTGCTTCAATAGCCTCATCAGTGAAAGCTCTGGCATTGGTGTTCAGGCCACTCTATTTGATTATAATTCCCATGGCGATATTTCTAGCAAACTGTTTTCAATGGTGGTGCTATGGTTAGGCGTGCCTCCTAAAGTTCATGTTTTGGAAGCTGAAGACTCAAGGAATAGTGATGAGAGGTGGTATCTTTTTTTTCTTTTTTTTTAAAGAAATCTTTTATTTTAGGTTCAGGGGTATATGTGAAAGTTTTTTACATAGGTGAACTTGTGTTACGGGCTTTGTTTTACAGATTATTTCATCACCCAGGTATTAAGTTCAATACTCAATAGTTATCTTTTCTGCTCCTCTCCTTCCTCCCACCTACAATATCATGTAGATCCCAGTGTCTGTTGTTCCCTTCTTTATGCTCATGAATTGTCATCATTTAGCTCCCACTTATAAATGAGAACATGTGGTAAAAAATAAATAAATAAATAATAATAATAATAATTCCCATGGCAACCATGTGCAATAATCTCATTTCAAGGGGGTGACAGCATGTTACAAAAAATTAATATCGAATTTCAAATAATCATGATTGTGAGCATAAAATGTGACAATACAGTGAAAGTCTTTAAAAAATAGTAATAAAGATATTTTTTTCTCATCCATGCATTCTCTCAGTAAACATTTACTGAGTAACTACTATGTATCTGGCATTGATATAAATGGAAATATCCTTTTAGGCTATACAGGATTTACTTCAGTGATTCCATCAGATTTTGAAAATTTGATAACTTCCTTTTCTGAATGATTGAACTGATGAAAGCAAATCTATACCATCATGTTATGAAAGATACACTTTTTAAAAGCATATTTCAGTTCTATTTCCTGAGTAACGAATTTACTTAGCAGACTATGTGATGATTTCAATCTAGCAACTGAGTGTAAAGATAAGAGTTTAAAATAAATGGAATATGCAAAGTTTATGGCCAGAGTTAAAGTAGCAGAAAAATATAAAAGCTAGGGCCAGATGAAGACACGGCCGAGTTATAGCCCTTTAGTGGACTTTATATGCTGAGACTGAATTATTATATTAATGAAATGAGAAATGTCATTCATATACAGCTTCAGAACAGAGAAAACAATCCCTTCTGAAAGTGGAATTTAGAATGTAAAATGCAACACAATGGCAATACAAGGACAATCTTCCCTTGTAGTGATTCCATTGTTAAAGGAATTAACTATCCAATGGGTAGTTTCTGGAATCAAGAAGAGGGATATATTGATTCTAAGAACTTGTCCTAAGCAAATTTATCAGGAAACAATCATTATAAATGTATCAGGGATACAGTATACAAAAAGGTAACAGAAGTTTTTAAAGTTTGATTCTTTCACTTAAGAATGCATTAATTAGTAGCACTCAAAACAAAATATCCTTGTGAAGCCTTTGGATTAATGTTTCCAGTTGCATATGTAGTTTATTTCTATATTTGGGGAGGAGGGGTTACATTTTCATGTGCATTTGGAAATTAGCATATTTTGCTTCTTTCATAATACATTTTATAGGGATCGAGAAAGACAGAGGACAGGCATATTGTTTTATTACTTCAGGATAAGGGAAACGTAAACCCCTATTTTAGCATGTAAAATACTTATATTTTCTAGAAAAAGGCGAAGACTATAAAAGTTGCCTCCTATTAAAAAAAAAAGGAAAAGAAAAATAATAAACTGACTCAAGGAGCAGAGAAAGAGGGATACAGACAAAGGAATGCTCATTATTTCCATGTCTAATGTATTCTATATTGGGCTCAGTTTCTGTCTGTTCTGACAAAATGTTATTGCCTCTAAAATGATGGCCAGAAACCTAACATGTGTCTTATTTTTTAATGTTTTTCACTTTCAATATATTTGCCTTTTCTGCAGCTTGTAGTTGAAAGGATTATTTATTTTAAAGTCATAGAATTGTAGCTCAATGGGAGTTTTCATCTCGATGCCTTGCTTTATATTATTTTGTGGAATTAAAAAAAAAATGCCAGGAGGTGTTAGTTTCCATAGGAATAAGGTCTTAGAACTCAAAAGAGTTCACTGAAGAAATATTACAAAATAAATTGTTGGAAAAAATTGATGTCTTAAAGGTTTGCAAGGGGGTCCAAAGTAGGGGGCCCACCGGTTCAGGCTAGTGAACAAATTATTGGGAGCAGGGAACCAGTGTCCTCTGCATTTACTTATACAATAGAGGTTAAAGTAAGTAAGTATGTATAATATGCCACCATGTGAAAATTTATATGATAAACATTGTATTTAAAACTATCAACCAATATGAAGATGGTGGAGTTATTGGTTATTCTGGATCATTTAAGACTGCCCTATATTACACAGTAGCTACTAGCCACATCTAGCTGTTTTAATTTCAATTTAAATACATGGAAGTTACATAATGTTCCTTGGTCACATTAGTGACTGAGGTACTCATTTGCCACCTGTGGCTACCATATTATTGGACAGTATGGACGACGGAGTATTTCAATCATCACAAAGTTCTATTGGACAGCACTAATTTATATATTGATTTAAACTTATTGTTAGATCCATTTTCTAATAACATGTTAACTTGAAAAAGAGAGGACATTAGCATGTGAATAATAGTAATAATAATGATGATGATAATAGGATCATTTACTGTGTATTCCTATGTATTGGGCACTGTCTCAAGTGCTTTTATATGCATAATCTCACTTTGACAAGGATTCTGTTATCATTCCTATTTTATATGTATATGTATTCCTATTAAAGAAATTCTAAGCCTGTTTGTTTTACATATAAAATTGAAATAATAACAATGGTACTTTTCTCATAAAGTTCTTCTAAGGATTAAATGAGATTATGTAAATAAAGTGGTTAACTTGGACCTAGGCACATTATATATACATATATATATGTATATGTATGTTTTGGATTAATGTTTCCATAAAGAAAGCTAATATAATAGCTATACTTATTTTATATATGTATATATTATATAGCTAAAGTTATATATAGAAAATATATCTTTTATATACAAAATGTATGTGTGTGTACATATATACACACAGGCATATATATTTTATATATGTAACATAAGTGTAGATATTATATTAGCTTTCTTCATGGAATAAAGCTGTGATTAATTCATAAGATACTGTCTTCCAAGAATAGATTAAAGGTAAATGAACACACAATTGGGCATATTCAGAGTGGTATTGCACTATTCACAACAGCCAAGATATGGAATTAACCTAGGTGTCCAACAACAGATGAATGGATAAATAAAATGTGGTACATATACACAATGGAATACTATTCAGCCATAAAAAAAGTATGAATCCTGTCATTTGTGGCAGTGGATGGAACTGGCAGGTATTATGTTAAGTGACATAAGCCAGGAACAGAAAATTAAATACTGTATGTTCTTACTCATGTGGAAGCTAACTATAAGTTGATATCGTAGAAGTAAAAGGTAGAACAAAGGATACTAAAGACTGGGAAAGGGAAGATGGAGATTTGTTTAAGGATACAAAATCACTGCTACATAGGAGAAATGAGTTCTAGAGTTCTGTACCATTATAGGATGGCCATAGTAACAATAACATATGATATAATTTCAAATGGCTACAAGTAGGATATTGAATGTTTCCAAGACAAACAAATGATAAATACTTGAGATGATAAATATGCTAATTACTCTTATTTGATAATACATTATATATATGAAAACATTACTATGCGCCCCGTGAATATGTACAACTATTATTTGGTAAATAAAATAAATAGAGAATATTTGTTATTCTGGACCTTTAGAAGGCCCTTTGTTGTAGGTTTGATGTCTGCTCTCCATTTCTCCTTCAAGTTATGAGCAAACTTTTATATCACTGAAAATATACACCTGTGCCAATTATTTAATAAAATGTAAAAAGAATGTTGCTTTATGCAGTTTGACTCTCTGATGCCCATTCAAGATTTGCAAGAAATGGCCCAAAATTATTGGATATAAACTTTGGATTCTTATAGGCTAACTATGGAGATGGGATGAGAAAATGTAAATATTTAAAAAAAAACCCTAAATGATAAGGTTGCATGTTATCACTGTGGCTGCACATAGCAATTTAATTTGAATATGTTAACCACAAGGACATTTAATAGAATACTTCCCATCATAAATATTGTCTGGCAAATTGAGGCTCCACTTTTACTAAAATAGCCATCCACTCCAATTCAGACACATGAAGCTGAATTTAAATAATTAAAAATGCAACTTGGCCCAATTTTTCTATTGTTAATCATCTTTTAATAAAGACTCAATATGCTGCATATTTAACATCAGCCAAAAATATTTCTCTTATCACTATTTTTTGCTCTGATGAGGAGACTGACTTATGGCCTAAGAGTAGATAGTGAAAGCTCATTTTTCTCTTGGCTTTTTAACTTTTGTAGATGCACTTTTGAGTTAGCAGAGTTGTTGTGTTGATTTTCTTTTTCCGACTTTATTTCTGCTCAATACAGTGCCAGCTGTTTTTGGCTGATGAGTCAGCACGTCCTGTGCTGTATATTTTATCCTATCCCTCTTGATGTAGGTCAGCCATCAAATGTGCACGGGAGAAAGAACGGCAGTTCTAATGAAGGCATGTGCACTGATAACTTACAAGACCTGTGTGTATAATTTATGTGGTCTGAAGGAATGAAATTGAGTGGGAAGACAAATTATGTTTGACATTACCTGGATTTGTTCAAAAGGTACTTCAAAGCTGAATGACTCATTGTAGTAGGGGTTAAGTGTGTTCTTTTTAATTGTTGTCTTTTTCTTCTTCAGCCTCTTGCCATTCTGCATCAGATGAATCTTCACATAAGGATCTGAATGAAAAACAGGAAACAAAAACTTTAGGAGATCAGAGACACATATTTTATATTATAATTTAGCTTATAAAAGAATTATTTCTCACAGGTAAATAATTATATAGCATGTATTTAGTATTTTTTAAATTCAATAATTTGTTATTGAAATAGTTTAAGGTACCTGTGGGGCATGCTTTTTGCCGTGACAGCTCAATATTTATAGTTTGATTTAGAAGATGAGAGTAGTGGTATGCTGGTAAACCAGCTCTTTGGGGGAAAAAAAGTATTAACATGTAGCATTTCCCTATGTCTATGGTATATATATACCCAACCAAGGCCAATGTCAAGCCACTAAGCTTAACAATTGGCCTAAAAAATTAACAGTTCGCTCTTGTGAGCTGGCAAAGGGCTTGCCTATAGCACAAGACTGTATGAGAATAAAACTCTTAACAGAGAGAGAACAAAGGAGCCATTTCATTTATTCATTTATTCATTTAATCAATATTAGTTGAGTGCCTATGATGTGATAGGCACAGTTAGGCCCTAGGAATATAGCTGCAACACAATAGACTATCCCTGTCTTCGAAGTGAAACTTCAGTCTGTGGGGGAAATAAACTAAGTTTGTATAGAAACAAAAGACATGAAATTACAAGTTGACAAGAGTGCACTGTAAGAAAAAAGCAGAATAGAGATAATGTAGGAAATACCAAGGATGGTATGGTTAGTAAAGTAGGAAGGCAATTTAGGTTTTAGATTGCTCTGGTAAGGCACCTGTGGAAGTAAAATTTAAACTGAGATGTGAAGGTTGAAGAGTGAGATGAGGCCAGCTGAGCCTGAATATTTCTAGGTAGCGAAGAACTTCAAGTGTTCGAGGAAAAGAGAAGAGATCGGTACACACACCAAAGTAATGGGAAAAGGAGCAGACAGATTCCCCTGGGCAGTTTCCCTAAAGCCTCATTAGGCAAAGATCAAGTAATAAGTCACTGGAGGGTCAAGACAATTCCCTTTTACAGCTCCCATTACTAATGGATGAATGTTGTACCTTCAGGTCACTAGAAACCAATGCTCACAGTTGAAGGAAAATCTCTACTGTTTTTCTTCAACATGTTTCCATTTCATATGTAATGCATGCTCATTATAGAAAAAATATCAGAAAGCAATGATGACCGAAAAGAAAAAAAAATTTTGAATCTAGGATTTTACTTCCCCAAAATAACTACTGCTAAACCTTTCAAATTTCTTTCCTTTCTTTTCAGTGTTCTTTCTCGGAACATGTAGAGCTGGGAGAAACTTTCCAGATGATCTAGTCTAATGCCCAACTATTTTTAGAAGAGAAAACTGCAGATGAGAAAAGGGTATTTTTATCTCCCTCTCCCTATCCCCAGTAGAACATAACTCCTAAGGGACAGACATTTTGTCTGTCATATTCACTATTTGAATTTGCTAAAACAGTGCCTGGCACATATTCAGTTTTTGTTGAGTAAGTGGAACTTATTTAGGGCCTCAGTCTGGGTCTTTTGACTCCCGGTCCTGTTTTTTTCCCACTCCCCTAAAGCCTACATTACCAGGATATGTGTTGTTAGGAGATTTTTAAAAAATGTTACATCCAGTTAAGGGGATCATAATTAAGATTTTCATCAAAATTAAGAACGTCTTTAAAAGCCAGGCCTAGAGGCTGGGTGTGGTGGTTCACGTCTGTAATCCCAGCACTTTGGGAGGCCGAGGCGGGTGGATCAAGAGGTCAGGACTTTGAGATCCTACTAACTAATACTACTAAAAATATAAAAATTAGCCAGGCATGGTGGTATGTGCTTGTAGTCCCAGCTACTTGGGAGGCTGAGGCAGGAGAATTGCTTGAATCCCGGAGGCAGAGGTTGCAGTGAGCCGAGATCGCACCATTGCACTCCAGCCTAGGCGACAGAGCAAGACTCCATCTCAAAACAAACAAACAAAGAAACAAACAAAAAACCTCAAAAAAATCCAGGCCTAGAGCTGAGAAACCAGCTCCATAAACTAAAGAGTTGGTCAGTTAAAAAAAACTTTACTGTAAACAGTTGTAAATGGAAGCAAAAAACGTCACTGATAATCCATGTTATTGTTCACAGCCAATGTTGATTTGGTTCAGAGACCTTGTTTGTCTTATTAAGTTCCCTAGCCCTCTCATCAAACCCCTTGTATTTTTTTGTTTTTGTTTTTGTTTTGAGGTGAAGTCTTGCTCTTTCACCCAGGCTAGGAGTGCAGCGCCGTGATCTCAGCTCACTGCAACCTCTGCCTTCTGGGCTCAAGTGATTCTCCTGCCTCAGCCTCCCGAGGAGTTGGGATTACAGGTGCCTGCCACTGTGCCCGGCTAATTTTTGTATTTTTAGTAGAGGCGGGATTTTACCATCTTGGCCAGGCTCGTCTCAAACTCCTGACCTCGGCCTCCCAAAGTGCTGGCATTACAGGTATGAGCCACTGTGCCTGGCCCCCCTTACACTTTTACAAAGATAATCATGTCTCCAGTTGTTCTCTGGCACTGATGAAATACGCATATCTACTATATATGCCTCCTGTGTTTATGTGTTGAAATTTTATCAACCTAATTGAGGCACAGGTTTTCTCAAGAGAAGCACTCTGAGTATCCATTGATTCATTTAACACAATAAGTGATAAAAATTCTTGCACATCTGCCATTTCAGTAAGCAAATTAAAAATCCAACAGGATAGTTTCAGATTTTGCTAAGAACTCTGACATGATGTTATTAATGCCTTGGGGAGAATAGGGTAATTTTAAAAAGATTGATCAAGAAAGTCCTCATTGAGACGGCAAACTTTAGCTGAGAACTGACAAACAAGAAAGAATCAGTCATTTGGCTGTATGGTGGACGCTTGTACCAGCCAGAAGGAGCAGTACCTGCAAAGGCCCTAAGTTGCCCCTCATTCTGCATGTTTGTGAAACAACAGAAGGCAAGGGGCACAGAGGTAGATGGTGAGGTCAAAGAGGTAACTAAGGACCTGCTGATTTGTTGCTTTTGTAAGCAGAAGCTGCCAGTTCTGATGATTCAGATGTATTCTACAATTTCATGATATATAAAAAAGAGAACAGAGGGTTGAGGGCCGGGCGCGGCGGCTCATGCCTATAATCCCAGAAATTTGGGAGGCCGAGGCAGGTGGATCACCTGAGGTTAGAAGTTCGAGACCAGCCTGACTAACATGGTGAAATCTCACCTCTACTAAAAATACAAAAATTAGCTGGGTGTGGTGGCCCACACTTGTGATCCTAGCTACTCCAGAGGCTGAGGCAGAAGAATCGCTTGAACCAGGAAGATGGAGGTTGCAGTAAGTCAAGATCATGCCACTGTACTCCAGCCTGGGCAATAGAGCCAGCGTCTCAAAAAACAAACAAACAAACAAACAAACAAACAAACAAACAAAAAAACCAAAAAACAGAGAGAGAACAAAGAAAGTGGAGCAGGTTTGGAGCTGCTATAAATGGGTAGTCTCAATCTTTACCTTTGGAGATTGACTCTGATGCAGGTACCAAAGCACTTACTTTGCAGGCAAAATTCCCATCTTAATCATGACAAAAGCTGGAAGTAACTTAGAGTTCTTTATCAACTTTTGTGCTTGGATAAGTCTTGACATATGTACCTGGAATGGGCACATTTGAGCATCCTCTTGGCCCAACAATCTGAGGTCTTAGATTGCTTCTCAATTTCCTCCAGTCTTGATTGCCAGAAAACTAAGTGCCTTCTAGTTCTTTCATTGTATTGCAGTCTTGTCCTGAACTTGGGTCACTTTAGCGATATCCCTAATCTCTTGCTTAGCTTGTTTGTAACTTTTTCTGAGACATAGACCTTGCTCCTATATCCCTAGCTAGTGGCTGAGTCCTCTAAATGGAAATACACCCACCTATGAGTCACATTTGTGCTTTAAGAACACACTTTTTAAAATTCTAAGGCAAAGATTAGCTATCCTACAAAATAGGCCTCTGGATAATTAAATTTGTTCTGCTTTAGGGGTTGTTCTGCAAAGCAAAATCCTTGTCAGTTTCTTGGTGGCTTAGAAGTCCTCATGACTGCATAATAAAACACAATTTTATGCAAATAAAAAAATAAGATATAATGAAACTCACGAATGTTGCTCTTGCTTTTCCTGAGTACAACTGCTGGACACCATGCATGACATCTAAACATTCACTAGGTTTTTCAAAACATGTAAATAGCATAGGAAATCTGCAACCCAAAAATTGGGCTACTGTTTCTAGGCCCTCTATATCTCTGCAACTGTATGGATTTACTCTGTTTCCCAAAACAAGCACTCATGGAATGCTTCATCATCTAAATACTGACACCTCGTCTTCAATGTCATTTAGCTAATCCCTGTTGCCACTGAAATAGATGCAAGACGTGAGACTCTTCACTTACTTTGTTTAACTTATCTTAAAAAAATAATGGAGTCCTTTTTTAAAAAAAACTTTGGTAGAAGGGAAATCTGTTCTCTGATGTCTATCTAGTTTCTACTAATGTTTGTAACTGTTCGCTTCTGAAAAATGATGAACTGAGATCCGAAAAAAAGTTCTTCATTCCCAACAACACACTGCAGGTACAGTGAGTGCAGACACATGGCCTTATCTTGGATAATTTCAGGGCTCTCATTTGACTTCGTTATTGATGTGGCACTGCAATCCTTTATCCACCATTGTCAGGCTTTCTTTTTGTCTGAAATCAGCCTTGCTGAGCTTTATCTCCTTTCTGTCATAGTAGTTGTTATGACTTGGAAGCTTTTCATGACACTGTAATAAAATTATCCTCAAACTTTTATATGTTGACAAGCCTTTTTAATATACCAAATTGGGTTATTTGCTCCTACCAGTTACAATTATGGGAGGCAGAATAATAGCTCTCCAAAGATGTCCACATTGTAATCCTTGGAACCTGTGAATATGTTACCTTATAGGGCACAAGGGATTTTGCAGATGTGATTAACGTTGAGGATTGTGAGATGAGAAGATCATCCTAGATTATTTAGGAGGACA